ACTGGGAGTGGTGCATTATGGGCAGCTATCCCAGCATGCAAGTGACTGCAATGTGCTTTTCAAATGGGAGAGGTGGGATGGAGTGTGACAGGGAGTGCGTTGTGTGTATGTGGTGGGAGAGAGTGGGTTTTTGGGGGGCTGAGAGCATATCAGCATGCTGTCTTGTAAGTGCAGATAGCAGCAGACCCCACCCCACCCCCCCACCACTACCACCATTCCACAGTAATGGTTGATTTGTCTCGGAGCAGATAAGCAGCTGGCTGTCAAACAAGCTTTCAAAGGACACTTCTGCATTTCTGCAGCGATTCAAAGAAATGGCAAGAGTGGCCACTTGACTTAAGGGGATTATGGGACATTTCCAGAGGCCGATCAGAGAGCAGTAATGCAACACCTTGTTCACACTGGCGCCGCAGCGCTCCAGCAGGGGCGCAACAAACGTTATTCCTCTCGCCGAGGTGGAGTACCAAGAGCACTCTAGCCGCGGAATCAGAGTGCTCTGTGTGTCTTGCCAGTGTAGATGGGGAGTGAGCTAGTGGGCACGGGGCTCCTTTATTGCACACTAACTCACAAGTGTAGCCAAGCCCAAAGAAAGAAAAGAGAAAAACAAGAAGAGGGATGGACCTAAATGTATTCTCTTCCTACTTAGTGACAATGAATTTGATAATAATGCACTTAGCAATAGTAAGTAAAGTTGAAGGCCATATTCTACCCCCAATCCTTTGGGAAGCTTCCACTGACATCCCTAGGAGTCATACTAGCCTCAAGCCTCAGCAGGATTGGGACTAGTTGAACTAAATTTATACTCCAGCCCTTGGACACAAATTCAAAAATGGAATGTAGACTCTACACAGAGCCATGAGGTAATTAAGAAAAATACCATACAGTGCTGTGGGGTTGGAGGCAGGGGAGAGACACATTAGATCTCAGTGCCATTCACAGGAGTGTCTAAAGAACTAGAGATACTTTAAGTTTTGCATTTTTACTCCCCTCACAGGAGAAATACTGCACTGTACATTTATACTTAAACTTGGAGCTGGATTTCTAAGAGCCCAGTATTGTGCACACCCAACCTGTGAGTTTAACTCAACATGGGAGCTGTGCCCATGGAAGAAAGGAGCATACACAAATGCCCCCATTAAGACACAAAAATGTTAGATATGGGTTCTCATCTGGTAGGAGACGACAAATTGAGACCTCTCACCTTTATAGAATCTTGAAATTAATGAAAAGAGAATAGGACTTCACATAATACTGAACAGCTTACTCTGGAAGGGCTCTACAGATGTCTGAAGAATGCCACCCAATCTTCCCCAATCACAAAAGCAAGGCTAGAGAAGTTAGGGAGATTTCATGGTTTAGGTTAAACAAGGAGACCGGGACACATAGAAAATCACTTCTTTATGGAAAATTAGATACAAGACATCACAACCCAGAACCAGAAGCACTGGCTATCACCAGAAATGAAGCTTCCATGAAAAGAGGAAGATAGAGTGCAGCTGAGCTGTGTTGAATATATACACATCTCCATTGGTCTCAGGCAAGTTTGTACTCAGTACACCTCAACCATGCCTCCACCCATGCTATTGTGGGTACACTACTTTTTATACATGGGCTAGCTCAATGAGAGCTGGCATTAGTATGTATACATGAGCAAGGTAATCACACCCCTAGCCTGTAGAGCACCTGTAGCTTTAGATTCCAGTTGGGTTTGCAGGTCTGATAATGGAGGGGTGGGGGGGGAAGAGAAGACATTTTGGCTTGTGAACCAAGCCCAAAATGAATAAATTTACAAAACTAAATTTCTGCTTAAGTAAAATGTTCAGTATAATTGTTTATTTAGACTAAAAAACTGAAATGTCTCATAGAACCTTAGAGACATTTATTGTCTACTGCATTCCATGTACATTTTATAAAATTATTCCAAGCTAGGAAAGGACAAGGGAAAAATCAGCAAGGGTTATATTTATCTTTACAGCTGTGCCAATTTGAAATCTTAATATTCTGCAAAAATGCTCTAGCAAAAGCAAAATACAACTAAAAATAAGTAATAAAACCTATATTTGTAATTTAAAAAATGTAAATTTCATATCTGTTACCAAAGAACACTTTGCTTACCATTTCCACGCCACACTTCAGCCAGATGGCAACTTCCTTCGCCGGGTTCTTTGCAGAACTCCACAACATCTCGACAGGTTGTTTCTGGTGTAATTGGAACTTCTGTCAAAATCTGTTCGTTGTTGCTCAAGAACACCGTTAATATCATCTGAAAGAGAAGAATGATACAATAATTAAAAAACAATGCCAAACAGGAATAAAGCCCAGTTTTATACAATCTTCCTTTAAATTAATATTAAGGTTGCCTGACACTTCCTATTTAAAGACCCCATTTTCAATTCCTTTAACTGTTTGGACTGAAATGTTCTTTCCTGGGTGTCTGTCTCAAGCTGAGTTTTTTTTTTTTTATTTTATTTTATTAAATAAAGTTCCAGCTAAAATGGTTCATCTGTTGCTGAAAATGAAGTGAGGACAAAATATTTTCCCCCTTTGTTTTTTCCCCTGTATTAAAAGATTATCAGGACCTTTTCTTTGAAATATTCTAGCACCCCCAGTCTTTGGAGCAGGAACTTGAAATTTGGGGGTGCCTTTCAGTCAGATTTGCTTTTGCCATTCCTGTGAAAATCCACCTAAATTTGACCAACCTATAAATCTGGAAAAACCCAGAACAAAAGCACCCAGTTTGCACAAGCCCAGCAAACTTGCTAACTTCTAAAAACTAACTGCTCCTAAGATTCCCTCCTTACCAAGCTCACTCGAACCTCTCAACTGCTAAAGCTAACCAGACTGTGTACATTCCAATCCCACAGAGATTGAGCATGTTCCATGCATTCCCTCGCAGCCCCTATTTGTGAGCCATCCTCACAGAGCAAAATGAGTACGTGCACTCCAACCAGGGACTTCAGGGGTGAAGCTGGACTTTTCCTTGTAATGGCTGCTGCCTCCAGGCCAGGGTGTGGCCAGACCTTAGAAGTGACAGCATAGTCAACAGGTATAATAGGCCAGGGCAGGCTGTGCCTCCCCTCCTGAGACAGCAGCCATCTGTGTCTCTTCCCGACAAACCACTTGAGCTTTTTATAGGGTTACCATATTTTAATATTATATATAATAAAAAAGGGACACTCCATGGGGCCCCGGCCCTGCCCCTTCCCCAAAGTCCCCACCCCAACTCCATCCCCTCCCCTGAATGCTCCATCCCCCTGCTCCTCCCCTTGAAGCAGGGAAGCAACAGGTAAGCTGGGGCTGGATACGAGGAGGCGCGGCCCAGTCCGGCCCAGAGGCTCCCTCCAGCGGCCGGCCGGCCCGCCCTGGCCAAGAGGCTCTGGCCCCGGTGTCTCCCGCCCGGCCCGGCTTGGGCCCTGGGGCACCGGCCCTGGTTCCGCCTGAGCAGCTCCGGCCCGCCCTGGCCCCGGTGGCTCCAGCCCAGCTTGGCTCGGGCCCCGGCTCTGGCTGAGCGACTCCGATCCGGCACCGCTGGCCCCAGCCCGCGCCCAAGCCCCACGACCCCTCCCTCCCTATTTTCCCCAGACATGTCTGGCTTTTTGGTCCTGAAATCCCCGTCCGGGAGGAAATCCCAAAAAGCCGGACATGTCCGGAAAAACCCAGACGTATGGTAACCCTAGCTTTTTATATGCTCCATGCAGGTTCCAGGGTGGCTAGAAGGTAGTATCAGTAATCTCCCTGGGGAAAAGCAGATGCTACCTTCTCAGCAGCACCAGAACCTGCATGGAGTATATAAAGAGCTCAGGTGGTTAGTCAGGAAGAGATGCGCTTTTCCCATGAGTATCAGAGGGGTAGCTGTGTTAGTCTGGATCTGTAAAAAGCAACCTTTAAGACTAACAGATGTATTGGAGCATAAGCTTTTGTGGGTGAATACCCACTTTGTCAGACACCTGGGTGCAGGCTCTGAGTTGGGGCAAGAGGTGGGGGTGCAGGAGGAGGGAGTGGGGTTAAAGGCTCTGGGAGGGAGTGGGGGGGGGGGTCAGGGGCATGTGGCACTTATCTGGGACTCCAAGGCAGGTTGGGGGACCTTGATGTGCTGCTGCCCCCAGGCACTGCCCCTGCAGCTTCCCATTGGCCTCAGGGGCACCCGGGGCAGGGGCAGCGCACAGAGGCACAGCCCTGCCCTGCCCTGCCCTGGGGCCTCAGAGAAGGGCCGGTAGCCACGTGGAGCAAGCTTGCAGGAAGCTGCTCAGCTCTGCTGCACTGCTGGTGGTGGGCAGGGCCCTGGGCCATTTTAAAGTCAGCTGTGGGATGTGCAGGGGGAAGGGAGGGAAAGGGAGTGTCCAGGGGTGGCAGGTGGGGCTAAGGCAGAGACCCAACTCCAAAATTGCTGGAGCCCTGGGGACCACACTGGGGAGGTTCTCAGGCTGCAAATGGCCTGTGGGCTGGGACTTTGAGACCTCTGCCCTAAGGTCAAATTTGCATGAGTGCTGAGCACTTAGAGCTGCACCTGAAATCAATGGCAGCTGGGCTGGAATATACAGAGTGCCAAATATTCTGAAGAAATCAGGTCCTAGGTAACTCAAATTAGGCACCCTTAGTCTGTAAAAGGGGATAATGCCAACCCCTCACCTCACAGGAGTTTTATGAAGAATCAATGTTTGTGAAACACTATGATCATGAGAGCCATAGAAGTTTGAGGAAATTAATTGTTTTCAGAGCAGGGTTTACATTAATGGTTCCCAAACTTTTGTACTGCTGACCTCTTTCACATAGCAAGCCTCTGAGTGTGACCTGCCTCATAAATATATATATAAAAAGGGTTTAATTTAATACCGTTATAAATGCTGGAGGCAAAGCAGGGTTTGGGGGGAGGCTGACAGCTTGTAACCCCTCCCCCCATGTAATAACCTTGTGACCAAGGGTCCTGACCCCCAGTTTGAGAACCCCTGGTTTACATAGTACGCGCTGTGCAGTAAGAAGCTTAGGGCTACACATTGAACAATGAAGTTAAAACAAAATATTCTACACCTTCTCATTAACTGAGTACCATCCATCCTAATAGACTTATATTTCAGTTTGCATAAGCAGGATAGAAATTCGGTACTTACACTCATAACAATCTTTATTCACAGACCTTGCACAACTTTCTAAAAAGGGGATGATATTTGCATAGTTTTGTAGCTAGAAACTGAAACAGTAAGTGATTCAAAACTGCAAACAAGTGGCAAGAATAGAAGCCAAATTTCCTAGCTTCTTGCTCAGTCCTCTATACCACTGTTGCCCTTCAGCCACCTCCTCCCCAATATACTGAAGCTTAAGGTCTTTGAAGTCAATACATTTCAGTGTTGGAAAAGTACTAATCTAAAGATGAGGCTACACTAGACAAATTCAGACCTGTAATTCTCCACCAGTGATAACAATGTTGGAAGCTATTTAGTGTGGATAGGATGTAGCATCTTTTGATTAAATAACAGTTGTAAAAAAATGCCTGTACCTACACAACAGCTTCAACTGTCATTAGTACTGTCGGTGAATTAAATTTGACTTTTCTTAAGGTAGACAAGACTCAGACATGATCACAGTATTCCAGGGCTGTGGAATTTATTGCAGAATTCACCCCTTGTACCTGAATAGTTTACTGGAATCTTAAATTTTTTTTTTTTAATTAACTCAAGTTCCCAGTCTTTCTAGTTATGAAATTTGTAACCATGACATGAAAGTAGTGTAAATCAATACAATGGTACCTGCCTGCATCTGCAGACAGCCTAAACCAAACAGCCTTGTGAAGTATGATCTGCCCCATTAATCTCAAATCGGGTCACCATGAATTTTACAGTATTTACTTTGACATTTCCTGCCCCACCCCACCCCAAACACATTAGGACATGGAATTTAGCTTGCCACTGAATTTGCCATTTTTACTGCACTTAAGTGCCCAATATATTTTTTTCTATCTGCTTGCCCTGCCTTCAACTTTCTGTTGCTCTGCAGCTTTCACCACTATGCTCCTTGCACTGTTCCATATAGCCAGGATAGGGAACCAGTGCTGAGTCTTGTAGTAAGAGGAGGCCCTGAGATATAAACCTTGGTATCAGAGGCCCCGTATGAGGCCTAAGGCCTGAACTAAAGTAATGGTCAAGACTTAGCTTAACTTTGCTTTATGTTAGCAGTGAGCCAGAGGCAGGCCCTGCTCACAGAAGCTGACAAGGAAAGGGCTGATGCTGCAAAAAGAGACATACCTAACAGGTACTGGACACCAGATATCAGAATATCCACTATACTGGAACATTCCACAGGTAACATGGAACAGGCCGACCCATCCCAATGACAGGAGCAAAAAAAGGGTAAAATGATGGATAGAGCAAGGAGATGAGGTAGCTAAACAGATGTTTATGGGAAGATCCTCTGAAGCATGAGGGACAGCAAGGGAGAAAGGTATGAAGAGGTTTGTGTGAAAATTTAAACTAGTGGGCATTGGAGACAGGCATCATTGGCCAATTGATGGGGGGAAAAAAACACTGACATTTCAATAGTAAATGAGGAAAGGATAGCTAGGGTAGGGATACATCATAAAGGACTTGGAAAGTGAAGACAAGCAGCAGCTGCAGAACTTTTGGATGTGCAAGACCACATTCCTGGGTTTGTGTGCCAAACTTGCCCCAGACTTCCAATGCAAAGACACCAAAATGAGTGGTGATAATACTGGAGAAGTGAGTGGTGAATGTACTGTAAAAAAATCTGCAATGCCAAATGGTTACCAGTCAGTGAGAATTTTTTTAGTTGAAAAATTCACTGTGGGGGCCATTGTCATGCAAGTGTGCAGTCATTAATCATCTCCCACTATGCAGGACTATGACTCAGCAATGTGCATGACACAGTGGATGGATTTGCAGAAACAGACTTCTAGAACTGTGGTGCAGCAATAGACTGCATGCATATCCTTATTTTGACATCAGACTACCTTGCCAGAGTACACCCACAGAAAGGGCTACTTTTCTATGGTGATGGTGACACTTCACTGACACTCAGTGTTGGATGGGCAGGGAAGATGCATGACACTCTTCTTTAAGAAGAGAGGACTCTTCAGAAAGCTACAAGCAAGGATTTTCTTTCCCAAAAAGCAGATTACCATTGGGATGCTGAAATGCCAAGAGTGACCCTGGGTGACTCAGCCTACCCTTTGTTCATGAAGCTATACAGCAGCCTTCGACAGCACCAAGGAGAGGTTTAACTACTGGCTGAGAAAGTACAGAGTGACAGTTGAATGCAGTTTTTGGTAGACTGAGGCGTGCTAGTATTACTTACTGAAGATTGGATCTCAGTGGGGAGGGAGGGGGGAAATTGCAATGGTTATAGCTGCCTACTGTGTTCTGCACAATGTTTGTGAAGTGAGCGGGGAGGGGAAAAGGGAAGAAGAGTTGCTGCCAGGGTGCAGGGCAGAGCAGTGTCTGTGGAGTTTGACCACTCAGACAGAAGGGCTATTAGAAGAGTTCAATGTGGAGCTCTACAGCCCAGGGAGGCTTTGAAAGAGCACTTTGACAGTGAGCCACAGTAATGTGATTTTTGTGTACTGTGCTCTACCTGGCACTGCTGTTTTGGGGCCCTGTTATGAATTGTGTGGTGCTTGGTGTACATCTATAAATACAACACCACTTTCAATGCATCTATTAAACTTCGTTGTACTTACTGTATATTCATGATTATTAAACAGTAACTGATCCTATGACTTGTGTCACACTATACAGTAACAAGTTGGTGCTTTTTGAACTGCTAGGCACTCTGCAGCATATGTTATGAACTACTAAAGGTGAATTATTTTCCAAATAGAATTATATTCAATAATAAAACTAGTGCAAAAAATGTGCAATGTAAGAACAAATAGATTAAAAACTTAATGGAACAGAACTTTACAAGGGGAAAGAAAGCATGTTCACATCAATTTTACCTATACATATAGCAACTATGGCTTTCACAGGTCAGTATACATGAAGCAGTGGTTGTCCTTAATGTCAGGGCGGAGTGGTAGGGGTAGGGATGTGGCACCCAACGCCATTTGGATGCTGTAATGGAAGTTTTCTGTGGAGTACAAAGGGAAGTGAGCTGGTGATTGTTGAACCTGTAGGTCCACAAGAGTCGCAGCATCTGTTTGCGCTGCCAGAGAAGCCCCATTATGTCCTGATGAATCTCCTTTTCCTGCTGGGACTCTTGTTCATTCTTTCCTTCTCCAGGCTGTCTGCAATGTTCACCCTTCAGGCCCTTTGCTCACAGTCTCATGCAGCACTGGCTTGCAGGAACTCACTAAACATGACATTCCAAGTCCTTTTCTTTCTCCTCCTTATCTGGCTTAGTCATTCCACACATGTGAAGGGGGAACCCCTCAAGGCTACAGCAACTGCAGATGAAATACAGGAGCAAACTTTAAAGATGCAGAACTCCCTTCCCTTGCTCCTCTAAAAAAGGGGAGGGGGGGGGGAACCAAAACACCCCACCCCACACATGCTTATCAGCATTTTTGCTTCAGAGTGCTTGCGCACAGAAGTGCTCACAGCACCAGCCATGGTGAATGTGGCCTGCCAGGAATGAGGAGGGAATTGCTCAGTTGCATGAACCTGTGAGTAAAGGGCAATAGCACTGAATACTGGCACCATTTTCCACAGGCAGCGGTGATTTTAGCTGATCTCACTCCTGAGGGTAACAAAGGCAGAGAGGACAGCTGCTGCTGGCATCCCAAAGGCAACTGGACCTGAATGCTACTTGCCTGTATACATGAAGGTGTCTGCTCAAGTTATTGTTGACCGATATGGGTATGGGTTCTATGCTGGAGGAACAAATACATTGCCATCCCTAAAAACCTTCAGGAGAGGATTGCATGGTACCTCCATGAAAGTTTCATTGAGATCTCAGCAGGATTCAAGGGACATCCCTGTGTACATGAACTGCCTCATGTGCCCTCCCCCATCTCTACAGAGGAGTGAAAAGCAGACAACACTATCTTAGTTGTATCACTACCTCTTTAGTAAAAGCAAGTTAACAGGACAGTTATTGACTTTTCATTAAGTTGGGGGTGGGGGGTGCCCATCACTTGTAGTGAGAAATAAATGTACAGTTACCCGAGGAGCCATCATCCTGCAGCCGACTTGCCCATGTTTGACTGCCAGGACTGAGGTGTAGCCTCAAACAGGCTGGCTTGCAGCTTAGCTGAACCCCTGGTTACATCTCCCATTCATGTGATGGGGCCATGACTCCAATTCCTTGGAGGGATTCGTGGTGGTCTGTGGGCTCTCTAGCAAGCATGGCATCCAGTTCTTTGTAAAAGCAGCAGGTCTGTGGCTCACTGGATGAATTGTTGGCCTCCCTAGTCTTCTGATGTGTCTGATGCATTTCTTTCACTTTCATGCAGCACTGCTGCTGGTCCCTCTCATAGCCTTCTCCTGCACCCCCCATGGCAATCTGCTCATAGATGTCCACATTTCTACAGCAGGTCCATAGCAGTCCTTGGGCAGCCTCTTCTCCCACAGGGCCAGGAGATAAAATCTCTTGTCTACTCCAAGCTGGAGCACATCTGAAGCATGTAGTCAGCATGGTCAGTGGGGCAATTGCACACAAAGGAAAGCTGCTAGGTGCACTTGCCTAGCTGGACAATCAGGATAAGTCATTAAAAAAAATAGATTTTTGTTCGGGGGGAAGCGGAGAGAAAGAGGCCTTCTGTCAGTCTGTCTCTGGAATTGCGGGATAGCTATTGGAGAATTGTTAAGATCAACATAAGTAACGCAACAGCTACACTTACACCGTGTCAATCTCAGCATATCAACCATGACTCAATGCAGCTGAGGGAGGGGGTGTTACTACATCACTGTAAATGGGACACTTTCATCAGTGGAAAACAGATTTAAGTGTAGAAACAGACAACTAGGTCAACGCAAGGCAGCTTACATTGACCTAACTTTGTAGTACAGAATAGACTGGTGATTGAGAAAGAAGGAGTGGAGGGGGTGTGTGATGGGATCCCTGGGGTTCAGCTTGGGACTGTGGGACCCATTGTGCCCCCTTAACTCTCTCCAGCCTGGGGAGGGACACACACACACACACACACACACACACACACACACACACAGTTATCGTTCCTAGAAAAT